GTATAATGGAATGTTATTCATCCATAAAAAAATAAAGTACTGATAAATGCTATAACATTAACCTTAAAAATACTATGCTAAGTAAAAAAAAGCCAGACACAAAAGGCTACATATTATATAATTACATTTATATGAAAGGTCCCCAATAGGCAAACCATGGGGACAAAAAGTAGATTAGTAGTTGCCAGGGCTGCGAGGAGGATGTATCCCCAGAGAGGAGTACCTACTAGTCCTGAAGTTGCTTTTTGGGGTGATGAAAATGCTCTGCAATTAGATAGTGGTGATGGTTGCACAATTATAAAAAAAGCCAAGCTACTTTGTGTAGGGTAAAGGCTCGGCCCTGGATGATGAGTTACCATCGTTACAAGGGAATGCAAGAAAAAGCACAGAAAAAGTAAATTTGGTCTCCGCCCACAAGGTGTTCCCAACCCAATGAAGGAGCAACACAAAAGCAAACAATGGTAATACGATGCAAAAAGAATTATAGGCAGGGAGTAAAGAGTATGGCAGGAAAAACCAACTTCATACAGTGAAAACCACTCAGACACTGTGAGGAGAAAAGAGTGGAGGCATGGATATGAACAGTGTGGTGACTGCGGCGGCCGGTGGGTGTAAATGGTAATGGAAAAAATACAATGAAAAATAAATTTGAAAAAAATACCAGGGAATATCTTTTTGACCTTGGAGCAGCACAGGATTTTTTAAAAGAAAAAGCACAAAAAGTATAGGAAAAAAAAACTTTTAAATTAGGCTTCACTGAAATTGATTTTTGTGCATCAAAAGATGCCATAAAGCAACACACTGAAGGAAGATAGCTGATGTTCATTACTAAGGATTAGTATTCAGAATATATATAGCTCCTAAAATATGAATAATAAAAAAGACTAATAATCCAAAAGAAAAAAAGACAAAGGAAACCCAAATGTCCAATAAACATAAGATCTTCAATCTCATCAGTAGCCAAGGAAAAACATTAAAACAAAATAGCATTGCAGGGCTAAATCATCAACAACTCTTAATACCAAATACTGGTAAGAACATGAAGAAAAGAGCAATTTGGCGATACTTAATGAAGCTGGAAGATGAGCACACCCTGCCATCCCATAACTTTGCTCATGATCAGGGATTTTTCAACAGTGTGTCGCAAGAATTATTAAAACTTGCAATACCTGACTATTTTAGTCAGAGGCACTGACCTCTTTTCCCTTAGATTGTCAAAAAAGAAAAAAGACAATAGTCTTTTTCAGTAAAATGATAGACCTTTGGTGTGAATAAATCAAAATTATACTTATTTTTTTGTCAGCTTGGCAGAAAATGCATTTTCCTAGCGTGCCGCAGAATTTTAGTAATTAGTGCAGACGTGCCACGTGGTGTAAAAGACTGAAAATCACTGCTCGAGATGGAGCACCCAGGACAAATGCACTAATGATGTTCACAGCAGCACTGACTGCAACAGGGAAAATCTAAATGTCTGACAATAGGAAAAGTAATGAATAAAATCTGATTTATTCACAAAAAATTTACTTTTATGATAATTACCTATATTTATGCACACGGCTCTAGTTCTACATGTAAAAATATGGCTGTCACAAAATACTGACTGAAAACAAGCAAATTGCAAAAGGAACATACAGTATAATGTAATATATAAATTTTGAGAAGATGCAAATCAATGCAATATGCTGTTTAAAAATATACAATATATGTAGCAGAAATGTAAAAATTGGCACTGAAACAATAAACCCCAACTCTGGGGAAACAGGAAAGAAAAAGTGTTTTGAGGAATACAAAGACCTTAAATTTAATTCTCTGCTCTTTTCTCTGTATTTAAAATAGTGCACACTAAAAAATAAAATTTAAATGAAGTTCTATGGCAGCACAGACAAAGGGACAACATTTAAATGGGACCTTACAGGATGAACAGTTCAGCAAATGAGCAGGGAAGGGGAAGAGCACTGGTGGAGGAAACAAGAAAAGTGCAAAGGCATGAGTGTGGCTGAGGACCAGTTTGCAGTCAAGAGCAGCCAGAACTGAGGGTATGGGGATGCACCCCCACACTGAAGCATGTGCATGTGCCTTGTGGAGAACCCTCCAGCCATGCTGAGGAGTCTAGACCTCACTCATAGATTATAGAAAACCAAAGAAATGTTTAAACAGAGGACCAATATGATTTTACATTCTAGTGACACAGAAAATGAAAAGGGCGGACATCAAAGACAATGAAACTAGTTAGAAACTACCTTATCAGCCTAAACAGAAAACACGGAACTCTACTCAAGCAGGAACACTGGGACTGAAGAACGAAGGGTTCACGCAAAGAATAGTCAAAGGTGAAATGAACAGGCTCAGTGGCTGACCGGAGTCACAGTGGAAAGGAAGAGGTAAAACGACTGTGATGGATGGCCAACAACTAGACATGTTGTTATCAAGACTGAAAAGGTAATTCTGGTTGGTGTGGCTCAGTAGACTGGGTGCTGGCTGCAAACCGAAGGGTTGCTGGTTCGATTCCCAGTCAGGGCCTGTGCCTGGGGTGCGGGCCAGGTCTCCAGTGGAGGCCACATGAGAGGCAAGCACACATTAATGTTTCTCTTCCTCTTTTCCTCCCTCCCCCACCCTCTAAATAAACAAATAAATAAATAAATAAAGTTAAAAAAAAAAAGACTGGAAAGGAAGAAGGGCTTTCAGACAAAAAAAGAAAGTGTCTGCCTTTTAATGTATTCAGTTGCCAGTAAGGTCCCCTAAGGCGGGAATCTGGATTTTAAAGGTTAGAGGTACATACTACAATAGTTCCTATCCAAATTCTGTGTTGGTGAATGGACTGCGATTAGATGTCTCATGCCCAAAAAGGCTGGAAATGAGGCAGAGAAATGACGGGCTAGAGACTAGAATATCTTCCCTCCTGCCAAACTTTAAATATAAATATGTGATCTGCCTATCATAAGTAATGCCCGCTTTTAAAAAGGTCAAACTTTGCAGCTGCCTTGTCCTATCACTAAGAAAAAGTGTCGCAGGAGCCAGCCTGAGGAGCTCTCCAAAGACCAAATCCGGGATAACATGAGCAACAAAACCAGTGATAGTAGTGGATCATAATCTACAGAGCAAAATAAATACCCATGAGTTCAAAGTGTTGTAAATAATTGCATAAATAAATGAATGGGGAGGGACAACTTTCTCCTACAACAGAATTCTAATTAATAAATGTAAAACAAACGAAAATCACCTTTGGCAGGTACCGTATTATAATAATAACTGCTGCAGGCAAGATCATCAGGATATTTGTAAGAGCAAAGTATCACTCCACCATATGCTTAATTAAGAAGAAAAACAGCAACTTCACAGTGGAGAAACCTAGCAGACACCACTTTCACCACACTCATTTTTGGAGTATTCTTGCAAAAAATGTGTGACTTGAATTTAATCATAAGGAAACTTCAGACAAACTCAAAGTGAAGGACATTCTACAAAGTAGCAAGTACCCTTAAAAAGTGTCCAAGGCCTAAAAGACAAACTTTCCTAAAGTGGAAAAGGCTAAAGGGACATGACAACTGAAGAACTATGTGACCCTAGGTTGAATCCTAGGGACGTTAGTGGGGTAACTGGTGGAACTGTAATGAAAGTCTATGGACTAATTAATAGTATTTTATCAGTATAAACTTCCTGGTATTGATAATCATATTACTTATGTAAGATGTTAAGTTAGGGAAGCTAGATAAAAGGTATATGGCAATTATTCACACCATTTTTGCAACTTAAGGTTAAAATTATTTCAAAATAAAAAATGAAAAATTTTAATTTAAAAAAGTGAATAGAAAATGAGATTTGATGGTGCAGAAAAGAGGTGCCACACACAGCATACATTGAACTATTCAGGAAAAAGCACAGTACCACTCAAAGCTCCCCTGACCCAACCGAGTGCATGACAATGCGGTCAAGCAGAAGCAGCAGAGAACAGGGACAGAGACACTGAGAAATGAAAGCTGAAAGAAGAAAGCAATGTCATGAAAAGGCCAGCTGCTGGAGCAGCACAGGACTCTGCAGGCTTCAGGCTTGCTCTCTATTCACCCGGGCACACTAACTAAACTGGTACTGTGCAGGGGGTCCGCCCGGGCACAGGCTGGACGACCTCGGACAAGTTAGTCTACCCCTTTGGGCTTCATCTATGAAATAAAGATGACTCCACCCAGCTCTTGGGGTTCTTCTAAGAATAAAATAATGTACAAAAAAGCACACAGAACTATGCTTTTCATGTCACAGGCATTCAATAAAGTGTTCATATGAAATGATCCTGATTCTGAATAAGAAAAGGCTAAACCATGTCGCATAGTTTAAGGAAGTAGGACAATGCATAATTCATTGTGAATATCTATCCACAAAGGTTAAAATGAAAGCCACGGTGCCTGAAGGGGTAAACTTCAATTAGCTAAGAAAACCACTAATGTGCACTACCTCATTTCCACAAAGTATCAGGCAAATGAAGCGTCACTTTCCATCCTAAAACCACTTGGATCTTTAACACAACTGGCCTCAGCCAAACATCTGAAGCACATTCCATTATGAAAGGTCACCAATTTTCTTTTGTGCTTCACCCCAAAAGCTCCCTACAGTGCTGTCACTTCCTGCTTTTCATTGCCTAATAAACATCAAACACTGTTGTTCCAAACCTGTCCAGGCTACCACACAACATATTTTAGGAATACTTATGCCTCAGTGGAATTATGGGTGGTTTTTATTTTTTCTACTTCCCAAATTTTATGTGAAATAGTAATGCTAAGTTATAATGGAAGATTAATAATTTATAAATAAAAGAAAACTCGCCATGATGAAGTTCTTGTCTAAGTCCGTCAAACAACATATTGCAAACCCACCCCTCTTTTAACATAGTCACATTAATTTGGTCATAAAGTGAAGTCGATGTATCACACAATTAATGCCATGTGCCTATGTCGTTATTTCTTTGGATACATTAACATGGCAACAGGGATGACAAGAAAAGCTCTTACCTCTACACTGTTTGCAATATAGCGGTTGTCACCTTCAACTTTGACGGAGAAGTCATAATAACCACTGGACAACTTGACATTCATGAAGTTTAGTTCAAAAACATCCCTGTTAAGAATGACAGTGGCGTTAACAAATGCTCACAGGGGGAGGTCACGAAGAGATCAAGGGGGCTGGCTGCAAAGGGAGGCACTCCTGGAGATGGTCCTTCCGATTCTACTGGGGGGGGACGGACTTCGAAACAATAAAAAAAACCACCTCTTTCAAGTCTGGAACGTCTTCTTATCCTTTGTTTCCCCTCACAGCTCCTAAAATCCTACCTTCCTGAGGCAGCCCTCCACAGTTAAATGCCAAACAAGTGAGTCTACAGTATTGAGTCCCACTATGTTAAAAAAAAAAAAGAGTGGGGGGTGGGGATTCTTAACTAGCTACACAGCGAAATCTCTGACATCTTTTACCATTCCACGGATCATTCCTAAAAATGATTTTGCTTTCTTATTTCACACACTGTCTATATATCTTTATGGTGGACTAAGAAATACATTTTCTAAAACTCAAAGTCCCTGATCTCGTTAACTTACTAATTTATCAGTTTAGCATAAAACTTACCTTTAATTTTTTTTTAACTTACATAACAATAATATGTAACCATTAGAAATAAGAGTATAAAAGAGTTTCTAATCCTAGGGGAAAATGGTCATGACACAATATTATAGATAAAGCATAATCTTAACTCAATTTTCTAAATTATTTATATGCACAGAAAAAAGCTGACAAAAAAGACAGCAAAATGTTAACAGCAGTTATTTCTAAGTGGTAGAATTATGCATGAGTTATATTTTCCTTTTTGTGCTTTTCCACATTTTTTCCTACAATAAACATGTGTTACGCATCAGAGAAAAACCATAAATATTGAATTTAAAACTGGCTACTTACATAACAATGACAAGACAGAGACAAATACACCAGAAGGTCAAATTTACCTGACCAAAGTTTGGGTAAATCTGGCTTTATGGTGTTGGCAATAGTCACATTAATCTGGGTTATACTGGCTAACTCTGCAAACCAAGTTCACTGGCGCCTCCTGCCAATACGCCCAGGACCTACCCCACAGGGGTGAAAGAGGTCTTCTGCAGGAAAGTGGCTCTGGAAGCAACGGATTTAGCGTGCTCTAGTTTAACAGTTGCCTGAGTCAGAGGCTGGGACAGAACGTTGGTGACCTGTAACTGGAAACAAATTTTAAGATTATCTGTAGCAACCAAGGCTGAGGGAATACAGAGGTTTGTTCTGGGGTGCTCTGTTCATGGGGAGTGAGCTGTACAGAAGGGGAGGAAGATGACCTTGCCCCATGATCTCATTTTTCAAAGGAAACTAGGGTCCCAAGAAAGAGAACGACTGGCAGTTGTATTCCCTTCTTTCTGTTCCCTGTTCTGGCCACTGTACTCAAGTATCATTCAATAAAAAATTTAGCCCCGAGTGACATTACTCAGGTAGTTGGCATGTCGTCCCATAAGGCAAAAGGTTACAGGTTCAATTCCCAGTCAGGGCACACGCCTAGGTTCCTGGTTGGGGCATACACAAGGGGCAACTGATTGACGGTCCTCTCTCACACCGAAGTTTCTCTCCCTCCCTTCCCCTCTCTCTAAAATCAATATGTATGTCTTCAGGTGATGAAAAACTACAAATTAGATTATAATTAATTTTTTTTTAATTATCAAGAGAAATACTTCAGGGCGATATGGGCAATGAGAAAATTGAAGAAATACAGATAACACTGATAGCTATCATCTGCTGAGTCAACTATCTGCCAGGTATGAGGCCAGGTCCTCTACATCTGCCTTCCCACCAACCATCAGAAGCAGACGGCATTTCTCTGCTTTACAGAGGAAAAACTGCAGCCACGAGGTCACGGACTGCCAAAGGCCACAATGTCAGTTAAGTCTGGTCCCTGGTCAGGGTGCACGTAGGAGGGAACTGGTCGATATTTGTCTCTCACATGGATGTTTCTCTCCCTTCCTAAGTAAATAAATAAAATCTTAAAGATAAATCACTGGTCTAGAACTCAAACCCCAGACTATCTTCAAAACCAGTACCTTTTCTACTTTGCTCTCTTAGCATTCCCCCCCACCCCCCCACCCCCGTGCACGGCGAATTATGTTAATTAGGTTGTTTCTCACTGAGGGGGTGCAGATTGGAAGCAGTGAGAAGAGAGGCAACCTGACATGCAGGGCACTTCCTCAAGAGTTATCTGCAGGAGCCACCGAGGCAGAGCTGATGGGACAGATGGAACTGTCCTATGCAGGTGGAACCCCAAGGCTTAGACATCAATTGCTTTACTTCTTTTTTTTCTTCTTTTTTCTATCCTCACTTGAGAACATTTTTTCACTGCTTTTTAGAGAGAGGAAGAGAGAAACACTGGCGGGAGAGAAACGCCGATGGGAGAAACATCCACTGGCCGCCTGCCGTGGGCGCCTGGACTGGGTATTGCGCACACCCAGGCTGGAGACTGTACGCACCCGGACCTGGGACTGAACCTGTAACCAAGGCATGTGCCCTGACCAGGAATCGAACCTACAGCCTTCCAGTTATTGGACAACATGCAACCAACTAAGCCACACTGGCCAGGGCGAATCACTTCATTTGTTATAAAGAGCTTAGCTTATCAATGGTTTCCAAACAAAGGCAACAAAAGCCTCATTTGAGAGAAATCTCTAAGCAGATTTAAGAATGGTGCATTTGCGCTGTTTGGAGTTAGCCCAAAAGAGACGTCTGTGCTCACTGCTGAGTAAGAGGAAGGGCCATGCAATGAAAAGACAGAAAAATGCAGTCAATGCCAGGGAAGAAGAGACCTGACACTTATTCTAACAACTATAAGTACCAAAATTACTTGGGAATTTAAGTAGTTGCTTAAAGTAATGTATTTAGAAAGCTTTGGTACTGAAAAATGCATTTTAGAAGCAAGACTTCTCTATACATTTGGAGTTACAAACCCAGAAATGCAACCTTCTTGCACTTAATTTATTGAAAGCCTTGTTATTTAAAATTCTCTATAAAAAAGCACACTTTTTGCCCTGGCTGGTATAGCTCAGGGGATTGAGCATGAGCTGTGAACCAAAGGGTTGCCAGTTTGATTTGATTCCCAGTCGGAGCCCATGCCTGGGTTGCAGGCCAGGTCTCCAGTGGGAGCCAGGTGAGAGGCAACCACATTGATGTTTCTGTCTCTTTCTCCCTCCCTTCCCCTCTGTCTAAAAATAAAAATAAATAAAAATTTTAAAACAAAAAAAAAAGCACACTTTTTGATAGATTTGAGGAGTTTCGTGACTAGCCTCCCCCACAGTCATAGCCCACTTCCAGGCTAAGGGAATGAGCCCTGCTCTACATGAATGGTGATGTCCTCATGAGGTGACAATGACTGTGCCCCGATGTCCTGCTTTGGGCACAGAGGTCATACCCGCAGGATCGCCTGTTCATGCGTGTCGGAAGGAGAGCCCTGGGACACAACCACAACCGGCACGTGGTAGCGATTCTGGGAGAGCGCGGCGGCGGCAGAGGCCACACTGAAGGCCTCTGAGAGCGAGTCGAAGTTCTTCTTGCTAAAGACTGCGTTCATCAGCTGGATGACCTGATCCTGGAAGAAAAGGAAATGCAGCTTGAGATCTCCCTCTGGGAGGAAGGTGGGAGAGCCACCCCTCCCCCCCCCACCTGGCTCGAGTCGTTCCTTGTGCTTCTAGGTGTTCACACGGAAGGTCTTTTAGCCACTAATCCAAGTTGATGGACCGAGAAGAGGCAAATATTCTGCATTTAAGAGTAAAACTTGGATTTGGTCATTTGTAACTTTTTCCATCCTCTAGTATAAAGTGAAATTCATGCATTTATTTGCCCATCATTTACTAGACAAAAGCAAGGTACTTCTAGATAACTACAGAGATATGAAAGTGTGTTATGAAACATATACAGGAGCCATTTCTTTAATACCTATATGTACCAGGCACTGTGACAAATGCTTTATGTGCATTAACTCAAATCTTGACAAAAACATTGAAAAGACTGATATTATCAACGTTTTGCAAATGAGGAAACTGAGTCGAAAGGTTAAGTAACTCCTAGAAGTTATAACAGGGGGAAAAAAAAGCAAGACCAAAATTCACATGTAAGTCTGTTTGTCTCCAAAGTTCCTCCCTCAGTAAAATAGGTTCTGTCCTGATTCCGCTCACCCGCCCCTCCCCTCTCAGCCCACCTCTGAGCAGAACATTGGAGTTAAGTCTGTATTTACAAGACCAAGCCTTATAGCCAAAATATACACTAGAGAGAAACTAAAATAACTCTCCATTAAGAACTAATGGGCTGCTTAGAGGACAAAACTGAAAGCAATTTTTTAAAAAGTGAAACCTGAATGGCATTATTAAAATTCTGGAGGTTGTTTACTTAGGAGGAAGCATTTTCCATTTCAATCAGTTTTGTTTTTTAAAGTCTACCATCTAACAAAAAAGCTCCCTTGTTCCCAACAGTGTTATTCACAGTCGACATGAAATAATTTTCTTTTAATTGTACCAGTTACATTTTTCCATCACTAGGCTGATGACATGTTAAAATGGGTGACTGTTCAGCAGAACGCTCACGGCAAAAGCAGTGACAACAAAATTACTCCATCCAAATACCTGGCAACTAGACACTTGGGAATAAAGCAAGAAAAAATTTAAGTTATATAAGAAAAACACAATTTCTCTAACATACTGTGTAGAAGCATTCCTAGAAGATTTGTATACTAAGACCCACATTCCTGCACTTTAACCCAAAAGTTAACAGATACCATGATGTCTCTAGACCTCCCACACTCAGGATGAAGGAAAAAACAAGGTAAGAATGTCAATACACGAATAAATTATTAGATCATGTCTTCTACAGATAGTATCAAATTAGTTCAAATTGCCCGAGACAGGGAAGTATGTGCTGTTTACCCAAAGAAACTTAGCACAAAACTCCTAATGCATAAAAGAAATGAAAGTTCTAACTTGAAACCCAATCTCTTCCCCTAAAACTGGAACAGCAGCAGCTTGTAAGTCCTTTGGATCAGGGTGGCAACCTTCCCACAAATGAGGAGTACAAAGAGGGTCCTACTCCAGAAGACTTCCCACACATATTCCAGCTAAACTTTCTTTCAGGTTAACAAGCTCCTCTTGAAAAAGAAAAAAAGAATTAACTTCTGGTGGATGTCTGGTGCACACAGGCTTCTCAGTGCACTATGTCAATCAGCAAAGATTAGCTAAGATTTAGCCACTGCTCAATGAGGGGGGAGGGAGAACAGGCAATTTTGAAGTACAGGGCACTTCTCAAGAGAAAGGATCTGCATGGGCCACCCACGTGGAAAGCATCTATGAGACAAGCAGGAGTTAGCAGGAAGAAAAGGCAAGTGAAAAAAGAAAAAAGAGCGATACACTTGGCCTTCTCGTGGCTTCCTCATGACATGTTCGTGCCCCACAGAAAGCAAGTGTAACAGTCTGTTTACCTGTCTTTCCACTGACCACCAGTGTCTCCAGGACAGGCGTTACATCTTTCCATTTCTCATTCTCAACGCCTAATGTAAGACACTGAGTGACTACATCCAAGGCTAACTAACAGCCCTCTCTGAAAATAGCTATCTGAGCAGATGAGGCCAACAATCCCTCTGGGATTCACTCCTGAGAACTGTTAGACAGGCACCTCCTTAATCGATGGCTCAGTCCCCACATGGTCCATGAGCTTGTAGGTGGCAGCCACAAATAATGCTGTTGTTTCCAGTCCTTCTTCGAACTGCAGATACAAGCCTCCCAGTTCATCCAGGCGAGCAACAAGGTCCTGCCACAACAAAACAAAGGCAGGTTGGAAGCCACGTGATAACAAAAAGGAGCTGCATCCCTGTCACCCCAGTGCAGACAGTTTTGAGAAATCTCACTCTAAATGTGGAGACCACCCCAGTCACTTAGTATTTCTCCAAAAACGGTGTTTAGGTGGAGAGTAAAGTACACTGAACAGGCACTTGAAGAGAACAGTGCCTTCTGCAGCTCTGCAAGTGCGCCTCCCTAACCTTTGCCCTCTAGTCCAAGCCCAGGAGTCATGGCACTGAAGGCACCAGCTGCTCTGGGCAGGAGGCCTGTGGGCCAGGCTGCAGTGCACCTGGGCAGCATGGAGACACAGATGGACGCCACGCCCACCCACTTGGCTACAACTAGAGAGCTGAGCATCTCTCTTCCTTACTCAATGCTCTAAGGATGAAGAGGGACCTGCTGCTCTCCTGGGCAACACGATGAGGCAGCTAATGTGCCCATGGAGCACCCAGTGATGACCCTGTCTGGACTGCCTGTCGTCACTGGCTATGCAGTCCCTGAGAGCAGTCTCTGAACAGCAGGAGGTCCTGGGCCCTGGAGAGGACAGAGCTGTAATACAAAACCACGGTGACAGGCTGAGCACCTATTATGTGCTAGGCACTTTAGAAGCTCACCTGTTCCTATAACCGCCATAGAAGGAAACTGAGGCTCAGACATTAAATAATTTGCCTGAGATTACAAAATAGTAAGAGGCAGAAAAAATTTTGAATTTCACATTGTTAAGGCTCTAAATAATATCTGTAGCCTGTGAAACTATAACTACAAAAGGCTGGAAAAGTATTTTGTTGTCTAAGTGATGTGGTAACTATACTAGCCTAACGAGTACTCCCTAGGGCCCTGCTGTGATACAAAGAACGTAAGTGTGCCATGAATATGAAAAGAAATGTAACCGGCTGTAACAAATCATGCATGTCTATATGCAAGACTCTTCTAAAGCATTTCAAAGACAGGAGCTGGAAAATTCCTTTGGCAAGATAAATTTACACCTCAATCTCCTCCACGATACTCCTCAGGTCAGCCTGCTGGGACAGGTGAGATGCCGTCTGCAGAGCCTGGACTGTTCTGGAAGGTAAAGAGTAGAACCCAAATGAACAGCAAGTCTCCTTTCATCCACTCACCCCTTCTTGTACTGAGACACCTTCACAGATACCCCATTCTTACCCTTCAGAAGTACAATACAGTCTCGGCCTTTACAGGACTTATTTACAATCTCATTGGGAAAGATGTGACAAAGACCAGTACTCAGTAAAGATCATTGCAGCGAGACAGAAGGCAATCTGTGCAACAGGACCCACAAGAAGTACTGCGGGCACAGGGATGAGAGGGAGCACAGGTTTCTCTCCCTCTGAAAATCTGGTTTGTTCCTAATGGCATCACTTATAGGACACTGAGACCAGATTAGGTTTAAAAGAGATACTCTGAAGGAGAACAGGATTCAATTGGACTGAGGTCTATTTGACAGAGTTGACTGCCTGTTAATTTTCTACATTTCTTACTCTAAGACCAAAGAAATAGTGTAGAATCGACATATGTACATAGCTGGGTAGAATCTGGAGCAACTTTTCTGAAATCGTAGGAATGCAACCTGAGCAGGAGTGTTCAGCAAACACATGCTGAGCAGCTTGGGCTTCCACCATCCTGCCGGGACACCTGGCAGCCACTCGTCCTTCAGGCAGTAAACAAGATAAAGGGAACAGAAGACTTGGTTCCAAAACCAGTCTACTCTCTTTTACTGCCCTACCCTTTATTTCTGACTATAAAAGTACATTTTTATAAAAAATGAAACAACACACTGCTTAAGAAGATAGTTACAATTCCTGTCACACCCACCCCTAAAAGGTAACTGTTCTCCAATTTACTTAACTTAATAATATGTTGTATAAAAAGTAATAATAATAATTGTATACATCCTTTCATGAGTACATATAAATGTACTTCATTGCTATTAACAATGACACAGCATTTCACTGCTTAGCTATACCACAGTTATGTCCAACTGATACACAACAAGTGTTTTACTACGGCATACAATGCTGTTAACTGATAACCCTTATTAATATATGTGTGTGTGTGCATATGTATGTATGTAAATACGTATGTGTGTATACACATATACATAGTATACATATATGAACTGAAGTGAGACCCACACAGCAATGTCAGCCACTCGAAAGTGAACAATTCGGTGTCCTCTAGTGTGTCTCCCGAGGCTGCGCGATGGCCACCTCTCTCTAGTTCCACAACACTCCCACTAAACCAAACGAAACCCTGTGCCCATTAGCACTTTCTTCCCCCGCCTCCAGCCCCTGGCAACTACCAACCAACCTGTGTCCTGTCTCTGTCAGTTTACCTGTTCTGGATATTTTATATAAGTGGAATCACATATGTTCTTTTGTGTTTGGCTTCTTTCACTCGGCTTGTTTTCAAGGCTCGTCTGTGTTGTATCATATGTCAGTATTTCATTATTTTACTATGGCTAATTCATATATTTTTATCTGCTTATGAGTATATTTCTGTAAGATACACTTTTCTAAAATTAAACACATTGGGGTGACATCCACTAATAAAAAGATACACTTTTTAAGGTAGGTATGTACACATAAGATTTTTTATTAGAGTCTATTCTCGCATTGCAAATAACTAAAAAATATAAATGGTGCTTTTCTGGGTGGGAAGAAGAAAAGCTGAAAACCCCCGGTGGTTAAGCAGACTGCCGTTCAACTCAGGAACGGCTCCCTAGTTCCCAGGAGAGGACTAGGCCTTTGTGTAAAAGCACCATTTATTAAATCAGTGTGTTGGGGAATGTAGAGAATTTGTCTGCTTTCATCAAAATCTTAACAATTTAGATTCCCTCCATGGGAAACTAATTCCATTAGGATGACAATCGGGAAAACAGAGGAGTCACAATTCACGGAGAGGGAAGCTCTGAAGTGCTCGGTAACTCCCATGGGATGCCTGCTGCTATAATGCACTTGAGAAAACGAAGCCTTGATTTATCTGCCCGTGATAAATTCTGAGCCCAAATAAGACTGTTGGGGTACCCTAGAAAGAACTTTTCAATTAAAGCATCATTTTTCTCTTCTTTGGAATAAGTGAGCATCATGCTGGCGACAACCTCAGAAGTTTTTAGAATAAAATTAATCCACTTGGCATTTGAAAAGTTCTGTCACTGGCTTTAATTACTTATTCCCCAGGCAGTAACTTCTCTCTCTGGCGTACTCTATTTAGGCGCTAAGCATGCAGACCCTGCCTCAGCAGATGATGCAAAGAACACAGGTCATGGGAGAACACGATGGTACCTTTTCAGATGGTTCACTCAAACCTATAAGTAGTTTTTTTCCCATTCTAGACAAGTTTATGAACATTCATTTTCTAGAATATGTCTACTTAAATGTAGAAGGCCCATTTAAAAGAGTCCTAATTCATATCAGATTTCAATAAATAGGGCGAATTAGTAGTAATATTACATAAGGCACCCTGCCAGTTGGATTTTCACAATAACCCTGTAAGACAGATGTCATCTCTCTGTTTTACATATGAAAACGCTGATGTTTGGGGGGTGGGGAAGGAACAGCCTACTCAAGGTCACAGAGGCATTAAATCAAAGAGTTTGCATTTGAACACAGTTCTGTCTGAGCCCAAATGTGCGCTCTCCCTACCCACAAGCTTTCTGTAAGAGATTCAAAACACACAAGTATAGTTTCAGCCTTCATTAACTCTTTGTTGGACACCTACTATGCACCAGGCTCAATGAGCACTGCAAATAAAGAAGCTTACAATCCAATACAGAAATAACTACAATACAGCCCAGGAAGTAATCAGCTCCCTCAGAAAAGGATCTAAGAAGGAAGTGCTTGAGAGGAGAAGGAGCTTCATTTGTTGCAGGACCACGAAGAACCAGCAACTGCATTAGGCTCTTCATATGTTATTTAATCTTGACCTTCATTCTGTGATATAAGGATTATTGGTCTTGTTTTGTATATGACGCTCATTTAATCTTGACCTTCATTCTGTGGTGTACGGATTATTTCTATCACATTATATATATAAGTTCAGCAAGGTTAGTAACTTGCCCAAAGTCACACAGCAAGGAAAGAACAGAACTTATGTTCAAACACAAGTATAACTGACTCCAAAATGAATGTATTTTCTCTGTACATTTTCCTGTTCTGGGGTTTTAAGGAGGGAGAGTTTCCTTTTGCTCAGAGGGAATTGGAAAGATAATGTGTACAAAACGGCAGCCCTCGGAAAAGTACCTGCCCCAAAGTCAACGATTACTGGCCATGTGAACATAAACAGGGTGTGAGACTGGCAGAGGGAACATCGACTGTCTGTGAGCCCTGCCGTCAGCAGAACTTCAAATTTAAAAACATTCTGGTTCTCAGAAAGAAAACAAAACAAAGAAAAACCTGGGAAACAACTGAACTATTCTGTCATAGGGAATTTGTGTGACAAACTCTTGCTAAATAATTAATAGGAATCCCAGCACTCTACTCTTTCAGCAGTTGCAATTAAATGGAGGAAAACAGAAAATTAAAAATATATATACTATTTTAAATGAGGAGCTTCATTTAAATGAGGAGCTTAAAAAACTATATATATTTCCACTTTTAAGTTTAGTGAATGCCTTATCAGTTATTAACACTTAAATTTATAATAAACAGAAAAGTTGCTGAAAGTTCTTTTCCTATAAGGTGCTTCCACTTCACCTAAGCCTTTTGCAGAGCAGAAGAATCTGATTTCTAGGATACTCTCGCCTCTGAGCACCCACCTCTTCCACCAGGTGCTGTCTCTCTTAACTTCAAGGGATCCCATAAGCCCTCCTTCAGTGCAGAGCCTCCACTGCCAGTTCACTGTGCCCTGGCCGAGCCTCAAAACAAGATCGAGAGACACCCCCACATGGCTCACTGGCTTCACTCCTCCTCAGTCATCACCTACCCCTGCTTCAGCTTTTAACCTCAAAAGGCAACTTCGTCTCCATGTGGCAGTGTGGTTTTGCTCTGACTCAGTATTTGCTTTCTGCCTGAGCAGCTTGGAGAAGACTGTGTCAAGGTGAGCTGCACGAGAACGGGGCCCTTACCTGTCTTAGCAAGAGAACACCTAGCAGTGCCAAGCAGAGCACCTGGCACACACAACAGCTGCCCAAAAAGTATTTGCCGAACCACTGGATGAACCCTCTCAGGACGAGCCCGACACACAAAAAGCCCGGGGGACCCTCGAGATGATGACTCACGCTAGCACGGTCTCCTCCTTGCTGAGGCGAGCGGTGAGAGCACTGAGTGCTTCCTGGGAAGCCAAGGGAAGGCCGAAGCCACTCAGGGCTGCAACCGCGTGGTAGATCTGGGAAACAGACGAGTCTTCACTGACAGCTGCCAGAAGCAGATCTTTGGTCTCATTGGAAATAGAGATCTGAGAAGGGATTGGCAGACAGAGTTTTAGAACAGGTGCTGGCAACTGGTGGCAGGCATGCCAAAGATGGCACACAGAGCCACTGCCAAAGTCACCCACCCTCCCGGCATGTGATCATCCCCCTCAACTTCTCAGACGCCAGAATTAAATGTCTTTAAAACCTTAACACAGTACTTCGAAGATTCTGCAAGTCACTTGTGTACTTATATGGTTTTCTATGTTCAATAAAATTGATGTCCAGAAATCTGGTGTGGGGCATTCTTTCCTTACTTTGAACATTTTTAAATGTTAAAAGGAGACGGAAAGAAAAAGCAAAGCTTCCCAAAAGAGAGGCACTCCAGGAAAAAGTTATTTTAAATTAATGAAAAGTGAGAACTCGGGGGAAAAATAAACTATAGTTCCTTAAAAGAAAAAAATCATAAAAATGGAATCCCCATTCTCACTAATGAGTTTTTATTGTTAAAAAAAATCTGACATGATCCTCCTTTAAAAACGTACTTCACCGTTTAAGGCAAATAAAAAATGCAGGAAGCTGGACTCACCTCACAGCCTGAGAGGGCCTGGCTGGACTGGGCTGCGTAGAACAGGGAATCCACATTGCTGGGATCAAGGTTTGATTTAATGAAGGCGCAGGCTTTCTAAAAAGAGGAAAAAGTCAGTGATAATACATGGTGATTGGAAAAAGCATCTGTGTTTTTTGGATGACAAAATTCTAAGTAATCTACGATGCCTTAAAGTATGAGCTATACAAGATCTCGTTTTTTAAATATTTTCCACAGAACACTATATTATCCAAAATAGCTGACTTCAAAGAAGGAATGACAAACCTAAAGGAACTTTAGTCCTTGTGAATCCTAGAAAGGGAGGAAAGAAATCACTTGCCCGGTCACCTGCTCTGGTTATAACCTGTGCTGGGTGTTCAAGATGCTGCTCCTCTTAACGAACATAAGGACTGTGTGGCGGACAATATCACCACCAGGTAACAGAAAAGGAAGCTGAGGCCTTGAGCTGGTAAGGAATCCAATGAAGGTGACAAAACTGGTAAGTGGCAGAGTGCCTCCTTGGATTCCAACTGCACAGGGGTCTCCATGTAGACGCCTACAAAGCTAAGTCAGGTTGAACACGTCTAAAATGAGCCTGAAACCCTCATTTCTTCACCTGGACGGTCCTGCTCATGCATGGGCATCACCATACACACAATTACCTAAAACAGCCACCTGGGACTCAGTCTGGACTTTTCCCTACCCTCCAACCCCATCGAGTCTATCTGCTCTTCATTTCTCAGACCCAGCCTCTCGCTCTTTCATTGGCTTATTTCAGGCCCTTGCCATTTGTCACCACATTGTTACAATGATCTCCTAACTGGTCTCAAGCCATGCAATCTACTCTGCGTGCTGCTTCAAGAGTGATCTTTACAAAATACCGTACAAATATTACCATCTTACTTTTCTGTTAAAACCCTTGGGTCGTTCCTTATGATTACCCTCAGAACAAGACAAACATTTCTAAGATAGCATAAAATGTGCTAATGACTGACCCTTGGTCCCTGTGCCAGCTTCATCACACCCCCAATCCAACCCCAAAATCTTACCCGCCAGCCCACTGCAGCTCCTCAGACACACTATGCTCTTGCCATTATGCTTCTGACCCTGCTACTCCCACTGCCAGGAGCACTTCTCTCTTGCCCTACTTGTCTGCCAAATCTGGTCTTCTCTTCATCTCTCTTCCAGTGATTCTAGAAAGCCTTTGCTGACATTCATCCCTGGACAGGCCAGCTGCCCTCCCTCCTAAGCGCCCCCCCAGAACACTCACCATACTGTACCAACAACCTCCGCCCGCGACTTAGTTACCTGAGAGCAGAAACCTGATGAACCCCCACTGCACTGCCCGGCACAGAGGAGGCATATAATAAAATCCATTCTATTTCTACTATATCAAACTCCAAGCAATATTTTTTAATAGTTGCATCATTAATATTTTTGTTGAGGCAACATAAATTCAGCTATTCAAAATTAAATAATAAAAATGGTGAAAAGTGGGTGTTTCTGGGGAGTAGGACAGGGACTAAGGCAGGGTGAGTCATATGACGGATTGCTGCTTTTCACTAATAGCTGTTCTGCATTACCTGGTATTTTACTGGGTGTGCTACTTTAACAACAAAAAAAGCTTTAAAAATTTTTATGAATAAAATTTAAATAAGAATCTCAAAACAGATGAGTTTCAACCAGAAGTATGAAAGAAACCAAAGAGAGAAAGGAAAGAAACAAATACTTCACAAGGCACTAAGGATCTGAAAAGGAAAATCTATTCAAGGAGTCCTTTGGATAGAATTGTGGGTAAGCTTAAGACCTGTGCTTTACTGCCACCTGGTGTCCAACAGTGAAACGACAGCACTGACTGAGGCCTGAAACAATTATGGTCACTGCTACCACCCAGTTCTTGAGCATGTAAAATGTGTTGAGCACTGTTATAAGTGCATTATGTGCATTTCTCATTTAATAAAAGGATCTCTGCATTAGATCCTCTTATTATCTTTCTAAAAATTTTTTTAAATTGATTTGGGAGAAAGAGAGAGGAAGGGAGAAAGAGAGAGACACCGATTTGTTGTTCCATTTATTTATGCATTAATTGATTGGTTGCTTCCTGGATGTGCCCTGATCAGGGATTCAACCCACAACTTTGATGATTGGAATCAGGGCAGTCCTCTTATTACCTTGAGTTTACAGACAAGACAACTGAGGCCTGAGAGGGAAAGAAACTTGTCCAAATCACTCAGCTCTTAATAGAAGAGCTAGAATTCTAACTAGCCCCGGCACCCTGGCTCCAAGGTGTGAGCTATACAACCTCTGCCTCTCAAGTGACCACGAAAAATGATCTGTTCTGAACTAAAACCAGCATCATGCCTACTCTAATTCTCTGCACAGACAAATCAAGGTGAACAGTTCCAGCGATCAGTGCCTTCAAAGTTCACAATGTTGACGGCATGGATTCAACAGCAGCAGAAGTGGGACAGGACCTGATGAAACACTCTCTGAGCGTCAGTCAGCCCAACCTGCGCTGGCGGTGTGGTGAAGAAGCTGGCACAGAGACTGAGGGTCAGTCATGAGGGCACCGCACGCTGGGAACATGGAACTCTCATTCCAGCTGCCTTCCCGTGCACCAGACTCATCTTCCCAACTGAAGGCTAAAAGTCACCCCTAAATACCCATTTTCCTATCTGCTCCCCTCAACTTTCTGTGCCCTGTGCTAACACTCCAATGGTCTAAATATCCTCCTGAGTGAAGAACATCAGTGATTTCCTCTACCCACTCTTGTCTAAAACTCCCTGAACCGAACCAGAAACAAGTCCCACAGAAAGGCAGTAACCTTACTCTCATCTGCCCTCTCTTCTCCCTCGTTATCGTCATTCGCAGCCCCCAACCACTCCCGTCTCCTCCCAGACTATGCTTTGCACTCTCACCAGACCTTGTTACTATGTCCTGTCATCGAGGCTTATCCTGGTGACAGTCCCACACCAGGTGCTTGGACACCAGCCTCAGTTTTCCCATGTGTACTTCTTACCACACTTTCCCCCACACCACTGCTCCAGCTGCCCTGGACATCCAACTCACTGCCCCTAAAACACAACCCGCACTCTTAGGGCCCAGGCTTACTACAGGTTGTTCTTTCCATCTGGAAGCCTGTTCATCCCATTGACTCAGCTTCTCCTGCTCAACTGGCAACTCCTATAACATATTAAGAAAACTCAAGGCTCATTTTAAAATAAAACTCCCCCAGATCATTCTCCACCTTCTCTTTTCTCATACACCAGAATGAGAATCTTCTCCAGAGAGCTGCCTATGCTTGCCTTCAATTCACCACACCCATTCCCTCCAACAAGGTTTGTGCCCCATTGTGCCACAAGTGACTGCCAAACTGTAAAGGCCAAAGGACACCTTCCAGTGCTCATTCCCTCCACACTGGACAGACGGGTCACTTTCTCCTTCTCAAACACCTGCTTCCCCTTCACTTCTGGATGCCTCCCCACCCTCCTGTCTCTGGTCCTACTTCTCTGGCAGCTCCTCAGTTTGAACTCTTAGGCCCACTTCTCATGCATCTGCTCTCCCGCCAGGCAATCTCATTAATGCTCATGGCTTCATCCAAAACCTCACTGTAGGTACTTCTCAGATTTGTACCCCCAGACCACACTTCTCCCCATGTCCACTTATGTTGTAGACCACTCTGCCTGATTTTAGGAATTGTATCTCTACCACTTGTGACTAAGGGTGAGAGACGACCTTTGGAATGCCAGCAGCATGAGACAAAGCTTGTCTCTGGTAGCAAATGCTGCCTCAGTTCCTCTCCCTGCCCCCAAAGCTTGGTAGGAAGCCAATGACAGGTAAGACCCCTCACAGCAGGGGGCAACCTAAGCCAAACTCATCACTTGGGAGGCTGCAACAAAGAGCAAGGGACTCTCGCCCCCCCCCCCCACGGCTTTGACAAAGCCATGTCCTTTGGGATAAGTGCTTCCTGGCTCTAATCCCCTTAAGCCTGAATAACCTGTTGGGAAGGGGTGCAGCTCCTTGCCTTGCTAGAGTGTGTCTTGGCGAAAAATCTGGCATCACAAAGACTTGCTGATAAACCTGTGAAATCTGCTCTGCTAAGAGTGCTTTCATTCACATGATAAGGGTCCGAGAGGAAATAAGTATGTCTCCCAAAGTTTCTGCAACTCTCTTCCTGACAGACACTGACTCAGACTCTGAAGCCCTCAGATCTCTTTGAAATGTTATCTACTGTTTGATCCTTGCCGCCCTGTATTCCTGTGTATTACAACCCAATAAATGGCTATGGAGAAAGGTGCTCAAGGCCTTTTTCTCCTGAGAGAAACTGGCCACAGCCCACTCCTCCTCCCCAAACAGATCCAGCATGTCTCAGCCATATATTTATTCATTCACGAGTGTCTGTGGCCCCGGGGGGACTTGTGAAGAAGTCGCCTTCACACACTTACATGACTTAAAGGCATTTTCAGCTCAACGTGTTGAAGACTAAATTCATGATCTTTCCTGCACAAACCTAATTCTCCTCCTATGTTCCTATCTTATGGAATGGTTTACCCATCCATTCATGCAGCAAAACTCAGAAGTCGGGATGCTATCCTTCTGCACTCAATCTTGCACTGTCTCCCCCGCCACAGTCTGTCTCCCACAAAGCAGAAGACAGACCTTTTCAAAATGAAAATTGGATCCTGATACTTGCTGCTTAAAGCAAAATCTTTCCCGTGGCCGCCAAGACACTGAGACTTAGCCCCAGCATTCCTCTACAGCTTCGCTCCGCGCCCCCACTCTCTGTTCAACACGGCCTCCTTTCAGTCTCTCAGATGTAACCTGCTCCCTGCCTGCACAGGGCCTCTGCACATGCTCTTCCCTCTGCATGAAATCCCTTCCTCCTGCATCCCAGTTAACCTCTACTTTCCTTTACATTGCAGATCAACATACCTTCCTTTATTTAACAAACAGCTACCGAGTGGCCACCACATGCCAGGTGCTATTCTAGATGCTGGAGATCCACAGCAAATAAAATGAACCAAGTTTCTGACCTCAAGAAGCTGTCATTTAGGTGGACACAGAATGAGATTTAAGTTCAAGATTTCCTTGGAAAA